AGTGTTCTGCTCCCCTCTCTGGCTGGTTGGATTAAGGCTGTTAGTGGAAATACATACACCTATACAATGTGGATCCCTCCGGGAGCTAGCCTTCTCTCCAGCACCTGCCTCTGGCTCCCCAGTCTCCCCAGTCAGGATCCTTCCAGTAGCTGGGCTTACACTTTCAGTTCATCCAGTAGTTGGCCGTGGATCCTTGCTCTCCCCAGTTGCCTTACATGCACGCGTGTGTGCACGTGGGTCTCTTGGTCGCCCCCCAGCCCCCCAGTCCCTCTGGCAGTTGGCCTGGAGCCCCTGGGCCGTCTGGTAACCAGCTCCTCCGGCTCTCTCACTCAGGGACGCACACATACCTGGCTCCCAAGCCACTCGCCCAGCTCACCCACTGCGTGGCCCGATAGTCACTAGTGATCGCACGCTGACATGCGTACTCTGATGCGCTCCAGTTGCTGGTGACCCAGACACATGAGTCCCTGTGCCCCGTGGCCCCCGTTCGAGTTGCTGGTGCTTAGACCCTGCTCGTTCCAGTTGTCGGCACCACAGACACATGGGCTCCTACAGGACACGTGGGTTCGGAGATGCTCTGTCAGAAACTCGTCGCAATGGCTGTCACTCCCGGACTGTGGGGCCGATCGCTTTGCTGCGACAGCCCTGGGAGGAGCAGGGGCTCGTTTCCCTCCCGACCGTCCGTCCATGCTCCTTGTGTTTGTGGAAATGAGCTTTCTATCGCAGAACTTGACGCTGCCCGGTGCCTTTGCGCGGGGACGCCTTTATTCCAACTTAAAAGTGCCTTTTGTGAGCTGGCTAATCCACTTTATAAGCGGATGGAAGAAAAAAAACATCTTAGTGCGGAATGTCTGCTCTGAGATTAGGGTGGACAGCCTGTTTGGGGCTCTGTCACCAGACTGATGAATCTGTAGGTTTATACAACTGTGGATATCGCTGCCTCTGGTTCATGGGTGGGTAAACTGAAAGCTCAAGGTCGAATGATCTGTCAGGGGCCATGCTGTTGGGTCTGTGTAGCGCTGAAAATAGCGTCTTCTGCCTCGCAGTGTGTTACTTTCTCTGCTGCACAGTCTCCTTTTCAGGACTGTGCTTGCTGAGTTGCATCAGGAAGCTGACGCCATTTGATTTCTGATCCTTGACCAAGCAGAGCTTGTGCCTGGTGAGCTACGTGAACAAAAGTACTGCCTAGACAAATCCTCATCGCCAGTTCCACAGCACCTCTGCAGCCAGACGTCAGCCTCTTGTCTCTGGAAGTTTCTAGAAGGCGCAGTCAGCAAGCAAAGGCAGGAGCACCCCAGCATCTACATGGCTGGAGGCTACTCTGGGCGCTCACTGGGTGCTCGCTGGCCACGCGTGACCTGCGGGGAGAGGGGAGGGTTGTGTATATCCTTGCTTTAACACTGGGGAGTCACCAGGAGAGACTGCAGATTAAAGCGCGTTATAATCTAAGAAGATTAAACATCCAGGGTGGACTGGAGCATTCCAGGCTGAACTTGACAGTTCGTGAACCTCTCTCAGTATCCCGGAGGACAGCAAGAGAGGAGCTATAGTAGAATTCCCCAGGCTACAGCCAGCTACCTGTTGTGGCCTAATTTTTTTATTTGAAGCTGATGGCAGAGATTGCTCAGCTCAGCCGCTGGCATGAGCCATCCTTTGGGTCTAAATTGGGCTTGTTCATACGGCCTTTTGGCCTCGGTTTCATTGCTGCGCTGCTTGACCTCAGAAAGTGAAGCTTGACAGTACCTGTGAAGCAAGTGTAGTGCCAGCAGCCCGTCGCGTGGATGCCGCTGGGACAGGGCACTTTCTTTTTGCACTCTGCTATCTCTGTAGCTTGCAGGGTGCACTGATTGCAGGAGATAAAGGAGTGTGGTAAAAGGGACGGGGCAGAGCTGTGTAAGTGTCAGCCGAGCCATGGGAAGAAGTGACACCGTGCCCCCACCCCCGTGTAACCTCTATTAAAGTACTCCTGTTTATTACAGCGTTCTGGCACATGTGGTGACATCCACTCTCTGCTCTCTCTGTGATCCTGTCTTTCCTTGGCTGCTTGCTTTCTCCAGAAGAAGAATCTCGCAGGGATGCTGTCTGTTAGAGACTGACAGCTGCTCTGCTGGAGCCTGGCGTATGTCTCTTATCTCCGTCCCTGCGAGCCAAGGACACTGCACAGATAATGCGCTGTACTCGCCTTGCAGAGTCCAAGGCATCTGGCAGAAAGAGCCAGGCTGCGTGAATCTGGCAGGGACCTTTGCTCCGGGCCGTCAGAGGGAGCAGTGCGGTGCTGGGTCGTTCAGGTGCTGTCTGGCGCAGGGAATAACGGAAGAGGGAGGCATTTCTTTGCTGAAGACTCTCACCTGCCCCAGGGGCTGTAATGGGTCTGTCGTTTTTCTCAGTTACTCCTTGGCAGCCCAGCTCGTTTAGCAGAAGGGAATTTTCTATGTTTTCCGTCGCTCTCCTTGTCCTAAAATAGAGTTTGGCTTCAGATGACAATTGTGCATCCACTTTAAATCCCTCGTAATTGTGAGCAGTACTGAAATCCTCTTGGCGGGCATTGCAGGTGGGTGGAGAGCCCTCTTCTCCCGGCGCAGTGTCACTGTCGATGGTCCTGAGGTGCTGCAGGGCTGCGTGCTGAGCGCTCATCCTGTGCTTCCCATCTCCTCTCCACTGCCTTGTACGCTGAGAGCCCAGTCCTGCGCCCACTGAAATCGCTTTGGGGTTTGCCATAGGGTGTGCAGTATCCAACTATAAGAAGATTTTAGATTTCCAGGGCCAGATGTCTCTAATCCTAAGTGGAGTAAGTAGAGGTATTAACAGAATTAATATCTGCTGTCTGTGGAGCCTGTGTTTGCCGAGGCCTGGGTGAAATCCAGATGGACATTGCTTTCCTTCTGGTTTTCTCCTGGAGAGAGGAACCTGTGTTGTGTTTTCATCCCTCTGCTCCCAAAACCTCCTGTCAGATGTTGGGGAAGGGGCTAAAGAGAAAAACCTGATGAGAACCTGCTTCCTCGTGCTGCTGTCGTGGGGGGGTTTGGGGAGGGGCGGCTGCCTCGGTGCGTTATCTCGTTTCCTATCGCACTGGTTTTGAAATAACAAGCAGTTGACTGCTTATGTTTTGAGAACAGTTGGGACAGGATGGGGGGGCTTCAAGGTTTGTTTAGAGGCTTCGCATAGCCTTTCACGCTCTCTCTTTTCATTTCGCCGTGCTGATATTGGGCTCCAGCCTTATGCAAGAAGCTGGGGCAGACATAGGAAGGAGGGGGACGAAAGAAGTGAATCTCTACGGCCTCTCTCCTTCCCCTTAGGTGGATGTGTCCCGGCTTGGGCTGCAGGTGGTGAGAATGCCAGGCCTGGGGCACCAGCAGGCGGGCAGCGAGTGGCAGGGGGTTTGCCAGCTCAGTTCTGCAAGTGAGGGCCAGAGTCTTTAATCTGTTGTTTAGCCTAAGGTTTTTACTCCTGCTGACGTTCAGCTTTACTGGTCTCTCCATGTTTACTGGATCCTTTTTGGGTCCTGACAGAGATTCGTAGCTCCAAGGGAAACAAAACGCCTCTCAAAAGTACTTTAATTCTATGTTGCTGTGAGGTTTTGAATGTAGTGGGGGAGAGGGGGCGGCACTCAGCACTCATGGGGATTGGGGTGAGAGCGTGCGTTTGTTTTATAGGGATGATCTGGGAGCTGACTGCATTTCTGCGGCTGGACAGAATCTTTTAGTCCTTATTTCTGCAATGGCACCTGCTGGGGAAAGTGGAGCATTACAGCAAGTTTAGGAAACACCAGCTTTTGCAAACGTTGTTTCCCATATACGTGGTGGTTAGAGACCTCTGAGAGTGGGTATGGGACTTTTCTTCCAGGGGCATAGGAATGAAATTTGCCCATCAAATATACATTAACCAAAAGTGTGATTTAAGCAGAAATGGTTTAGCTGGGGCCCTGGAGAATGGCTACAAACAAGTACACAGATGTACAGCGACTACAGTGGTCTGTCTTTGGTTAGAGAGTGATCCAGTTCTGGAGCAACCTGTGTTCCTGGCGGAATTTTAAATCAGGGCTGAGGTTTATTGGTAAAGTGCAGGAAACTGTCGCCGTCGGAGGCTGTTTGGCTTTGTGACTGGAACGCTGAGAGCTCCGGCTGCAGCCCTGCCACGGCTTTGTGAACTGGGAAAACATCCTCTGCTGGTTTTTCCTTCAGGGCTTTGATGTTTTATGGCTAAGAAGTACAAAGAATGCAAACCTGAATAAATATGCTCTTGAGTTCTCACGCGGACTTTTTCTAGCACTAAACTCTCAACCATTACAACATATCAATAATAGGATTTGTCAGTAAAATAGACTCAGGCCGCCACTCTGGGCAAGAGTTTGCTGACTTTCCCTTTTTCTGAAGTTGAAATATTTAGCCTTGTCTCCGCAGCTGCCGTAGCTAATCCGTGTGTCCTGTCTGCAGGAGTTCTGCCTCTTCGCTGTGGTCGGCCTGGTGTCTGACTTCTTTCTGCAGATGTTTTTCTTCACTACCGTGCTGTCCATTGACATTCGCCGTATGGAGGTAAGGAAGGGCCAAGAACACAGGGCTTTTCCTCGGGTCTTCCTTCTCTGCTGTTGTGGAGGGATTAAAGGAAGCACACCCCGTGATTTTCACTCTCTAAACAGAAGAGACTGAGCCGTAAAAGTTCCGGGGCAGTACTTGCTTGGTTACGCATAGGCAGGGGTTAGGGACAGGACGCTTGAGGGGACAAGACACCCTCAGGTGTATAAACGTGCAGATTTGGGGTAAATGGGCTGGAAGGAGACATGGTCATGAACAGATGACCGTGGCCGGGCGAAGAAGAGAGTGTGTGCTGGAGAGAAGCTGGGACAGATTGACTCGAGGGTGAAGGTGGGAATTCAGACGTAGGCACATATCAAAGGTAGCTGACTGTGCACGCATTTCCCTTGAGGGACCTCATCACCACAGCTCTCAGGCGTTTGCTTTTCTCTTGGCAGCTCGCTGATCTGAACAAACGGTTGCCAGCAGAAGCTTGCATGCCCCCAGCGAAGCCTGTCAGCCGCTCTCAGCGCTACGAACGCCAGCCAGCTATGCGACCTGCCACCCCCCACACCATCACCCTGCAGCCGTCGTCTTTCAGGAATCTGCGCCTGCCAAAGAGGCTGCGGGTGATCTACTTCTTCGCCAGGACCCGGCTGGCCCAGAGGCTCATCATGGTATGCCATGTGGTGGTTGTTATCTGGTGCCCCTTCCTGCTGGACGCTAACCCAATCCAAAAGGGCTTCTGGGAGGGGAAAAAAAGCCCAACATTTTCACATGTCCTTGTTCCCCTGCCCCGTGGTAAATACAGTTCAAGAAATACTTCCCAAGAACATCGCTCTGCGTGCATTAGCTCCAGGGCTCTGCTCTTTGCATGATGTTTGGGTGGTAGCAGGTAATTTTCTGATATTTGCTTTGAGACAAAAATCTGCTTTTATATAAGCAGATTTTCAAGGACTGTATGAGTGGAAAGAGATGTTTACAGAGCAGAAAGCATGTTTTGTTCTGCAGATAATGTGGACTAAAGACATGGAGATATTTTGCTACAGTAGAAAGACGAAGGCTTTTCCTTTTGCAGGTGTAACTGCAGCGGTTACAGCAGTTACTGCCCCTACTCGTCTCCCCCATCTCTCTTCTGGGGGTCTATAGTGGAAGCGGGGGAACGCGTGTGTTCCTCGGCTCTACAAACCACAGCCCAGACTTGCTGTCAACTAACACTGATGGCAGTTTAAGTTAAATTAATACACCAGTCTGTGAACCGTGGCTGCTGCAGTAGGTGTTGCAGGGTTCATGAGCCAGAACGTTGAATTAAGCCTTTCTGGCCCTGCTGGAGGGTGGCAGACGTGCTGGTCCCGGCCGCCAGCAAGGAGTCTCTTCCCTGCCGTGCATTTGGGTGGCAAAGTGGGGTTCCCACCATCAGGTAGAGTCTGGCGGCTCACAGAATAGTGGTGTTGAGTGTTTGTGCGTGCTGTGCAACCTCTCCCAGCCCTCTTAGAGGGTAAGTGTCTGCCGGGAGTAAGACCATAACTGCGTGCAGGGCGTACCCGTGGTGGGGATGCTGCTGACGAGGTGCTGGAGGCGGAGCGTGAAGGCCATGTGCTAAACGAGCTTGTCTCCTTGCTCATCGCATGTAGGCTGGGACGGTGATCTGGATTGGAATCCTGGTTTACACGGATCCTGCTGGTCTCCGCACCTACCTCACATCACAGGTCACCGAACAAAGTCCTTTGGGTGAAGCAGGTCTGCCTCCTATGCCTGTTCCTGGAGGGGTCCTGCCTGCTGGCGACCCCAAGATTGATCTCTCAGTCTTCCCATCGGACCCCATACAGCTGTCGGAAAACCAGACGCAGCAGCGTGAGCAGAAGTCAGGGCTGGAGTCCCTGAGCAGGCTGGAGACAAACCAGCACACTTGGGCCCACGGACCAGAGGGCAAAGGGAACGGACAGATGGAGCTTGGAGCTGAAGCAGAGGTTACCTGGGGAGCAGAGGATGAGGAGATTTGGAGGAAGCTTTCCTTCAGACACTGGCCATCACTCTTCAGCTACTACAATATCACTCTGGCCAAAAGGCAAGTGGGCTGGCGTCGAGTGCTGCAGGCACTTTGAATTGCGGAACTGGCCCCAAGCGTTCTTCTTTCTCCTGTCCTTCATCCTTCTGAGTTAGATAATCTATGTTCCACGTGGTTTACTGTAAATGTGTCTTCAGGAGGAGACGATTAAACGGGCCCTCCTGTGTGGTGCAGAGGTACCAAACTCTCCAGGACTGTTTGTCTGAGAATAAGGGTTGTGTTTCTCTCTGTGCCTTTGGGTGTCTGACTTGCTTGCTGTCTTCCTTTGCCCTGGAGGTGACGTTTAGAATTTAGTAAAACAATATATGATCATCTGTAAGTGATGGGGATGGTACATGGGAGGGATAGGACATCTGAGGACATCTCAGGACATCTGAGCTGAAGAAACTTCTTGGTGAGGTCTCCTGGCCTGCAGTGTACAGGCAGCTGGACCGGATCGTTATATCCTTAGTTAAATCTGTGTGATCTATTTGATCTCATCAGTAGTTCATTCCACTGTTGGCTCTTAACCTCTTCCACAGAGTTAAGGGTTAAGACCTGGGAAATATCCTTAGAGAAGAATATTTCAAAAGAGGTCTGTAGTTTAGAATACCTGAAAGTACTGGACTGAAAGTACAGGCTGAGGCCTGCCTTGGCTGCTCGTGAGAAGATGGGCCGGGTAACCTATTAGGATTTTTGTGTCTTTTGCGTTTGTTGTTCCTCAGCTATCCTCATCTTTCCATTCCTTCAGATACATCAGCATCCTTCCAGCGATCCCTGTCACGCTGTACCTGAACCCACAAGAGGCCTTAGAAGTACGGCATCCCCAGGAGGCTAACCGCTACCACCCTTTCTTATCTTCAAGCGGTGGGAAGCTGAATGCTGAAGCTCAGCCCGACCAAGCCTCCTCCAAGCTGCATGGGCACCAGGATGTCACCCTTTACAAGTAAGAGAGTCCTTGACACAGCCTTCTGACCGTGCCTTAACGCCCTTGGAGACACGGGTCGCTCTTTGGCGGTTTGGCCCTTCTCCTGGGGGGAAACCAAAAAAATATTTGTAAAGCTTCAGTGCAAAACCCTGTAATGCTCGGGACGCTCCAGCTCAGCTAGCGCAGCGTTAAATTAATCTCTCCTGGCACTGGTTTTTCCGAGTTCCCTGGCAGGAGATGGTGTGTGCAGCCCAGGTTGTTCGCTCACGTTGCTGGTGGTGGGAGCTGCTTGTCGATATGTATCGATGCCTATGGACAAACGGCCCACAGACTTGATACGTATGCAAGTCTTCGTTATAATCCAGTAGCCGTTGTGCAATTAGCCGTGCATTTTGAAGATTAAGCTCAGACGTATTTTAATTGCATGGTTTGGTGATGCTAAAACTGTTACTCCTGGCACCACACATGATGCATTATGGGGTTTATGGCTGGGTAACAGCAACAGGAGTTCATCTTTGGGAATAAACATAGTGATTCCATAACGCTTTATTGGGTGTTCGATCAAACTCTCATGCAAGCAGGGACCTTCCTTTCCTACGGAGAAGACAGGCTCCCAGCTTGCCCTCTGAATCTGCACTTCTCCTTTGGCTGTGTTGAGCGCACCTTATATTATCCCGAGCCCCATCTAGCGTTTTTCTTAAAGTCTTAGTTGCTATGTATTTTCCTTATTGAAAAGTCCGAAAATCTTGTTAAAATTGACATTTTCCCATTAAGAAACCCCTTTAATTTTCCACAAATCACTATAGCTTGTTGGAAATTTTTCTCGGCTGAAGAATTTAGACCGGCAACATGTGTAATACTTTCACAATATTTTTCAAACTCTATTTGTGGACTAGTAATTGCATCTTTTATCTCACCTTCTTTTTGTCTTTGTGTCTGTTTGTCTCTTCCACCAGGGTGGCTGCTCTGGGTCTGGCCTCGGGCATTATCCTGGTTCTCCTGCTCTTCTGCCTGTACAGAGTGTTCTGCCCCAAGAACTATGGGCAGAACGGGCTCTCTCACAGCAGGAGGAAGAGGGGGGACCTGCCCTGTGACGATTACGGCTACTCCCCGCCTGAGACTGAGATCGTCCCCTTGGTTCTCAGGGGTCACCTCATGGTAGGTCGGACGGCTGCAGTCCTTACAAGAAAGGCGTTTTACTGACTCGCACCACACGTCTTCGGATTTCTTTGTGGTATTTAAATAACACGGGGCACGGAGGACAGACCGGCTGTGCAGCCTTAGCATAATGCAGCTGTGGAGGCTAACAGCTGGGGCGAAGGAGATCGATCAATCTATCTATCTATCTATCTATATGTATATATATATATTAGGATATTGTAGCATGAAGTTTCCTGTAGGACTTTTCCATTTCTTCCTGAGCTCTGAGCTTCTTGCAATTGCTGTTATTACCTCCTCTGTGTAGCCAGCTGTTGGCTTTTGTTGGCTGGGCTGATCCAGCCTTCTTTGCTGAGGTAGCCCTAGATTCCTGATATTTAATGTCTACTGGATCCTTTTTTTCCCTGCTTCCCAAAAGTTAGTGCATAGGTTTGGGCTGTTAAATGTTTCCAGTGCCAAAAGTATCCCTGGGTTTGCACAGAAGTGCGCTGCTGCTCAGTTTGCTCATTTTTCTCGAGGGGAAAGATGTTTCTTCCTATTCTGAGATGAAACAAAGCACTCAGGCACCCAGTCAGATGGAGTTTGAAATGCCAGGCCATGTCTTCCAGAGAAGCTGCGCCTCTGTTCCTGATCCTACCATCTCTTTGGGCCATACTTCGTCAGGGAAAGGGACGGCAGACAGAGTCTGTTTGATTTGCAGCAGTCTAGCGCCCATCTAGGGCTCTGGGCAAAGATGCACTCATGTTCTCAGACTATCCCTAGGTTGCTAAGCCAGCCATGTAGTTTTGACATACAATTTATCACCTATGTCGTTCCTCAGCCGCACGCAAGGTGATTGTCAGAGTCCAGAGGCCTCAGTAGGGCTACGCGCTCAGCTGTGCTTGTTCTTCCTTCCCAGGACATTGAATGTCTGGCTAGCGATGGGATGCTGCTTGTCAGCTGCTGCCTGGTGGGCCAGATCCGCGTGTGGGATGCTCAGACTGGCGACTGCCTCACCATTATTCCCAAGCCGAGGTAAGTGGTGTCAGTACCAAGTCCTTCAGCTGCGGGCAGGTCCCTCCGCAGTCACTGCTCAGCAGCTGGTGCAAACCCCTCTGTAAGAAATCGGCCCTCTCCGACAGGAGGGGTGGGAGGACTGAGCTTTTATTGCTGTGTTTTAGGTTGCGAAGAGACAGCAGCGGCATCTTTGATTACCAGGAAAGCTGGGATCATAGTCCAGATGGCAAGAATGGTCTGGACGACTCTTTTGAGAACAGTCACCAGCTCAAAAGGATGCTCAGCCCTCCCCAGCCTCCGCTTTTCTGCGACCAGCCAGACCTCACGTCTCTCATTGACACAAACTTCTCTGAGCAGGTGAAGGTGGCCGAGTCGGAGACGCGGCTCCGTGCTGTGGGCGGTCGCCAGAAGGAGACCGGGTATGACTTCAGCAGCCTGGTTGGCAAAGTGTACGAAGAGCACAGCACCTCCAACTGCATGAACTTCACCGGCCTCTCAGCCCCGCACGGGCAGGCTGGCTTCTGTGCGGGGAGCAGCAGTCCCCGCTCCATGGGCTGCGGGAGCGAGGAGGGAGGCTGCAGCGGCCGCAGAAGGAGCCTGGGGGATGAGTCTTTTACGGGATTTGACAAATCGTCACCGCTTCCTACCTGGGGAGGAGACTTGGAGAGCTCTGTCTGGAGCCTGGACCTGCAAGGGAACCTGATTGTGGCCGGCCGGAGCAACGGGAAGCTGGAGGTGAGGAGCGAGGCTCGCCGCCAGCCCAGGCACTGGCTGAGCTGCCAGCGGCTCTTTAAGACTGACGCAGCTTAAAGATTGCCGTGTCATTGAGCGGTGTTACTGGTCAGTCATGAAATAAGGTAAAATTAATCGGAATTCTATAGGAATGATACGGGTTTTGAAGCAAATTTTAATTGGAAATTTTAAATCTCCAATGAGAAACTTTCAGAATTAGTTTAATTTCATTTTTGGAAATGAAGTCAGAATTTTTCCTTCAAAATAAATGTGGGGTTTTTTTTTAAACAAACACATTTTGAAATAAAATTTTTAATGATTTTTGACCTCTGCTCCACGTGGGCAGCTCTCATTCTTCCCAGCAAAGACAGAGGCAGGCCACTCCATTGTTTTTCTTTGTCCTTTAAATACGCTTTTGAGCTCAGGTACCTGACGTTGCTTCAAAATCCGGAGCACTTTGTGCTCAGAACAGGGCAGATGTGGGGCTTCCAGGAGCGAAGAGGGGTGCTGCAGAGCTGGGGACGTGCAGCAGGAGCCCGTGCTGCCGCAGGGCGCGTGTGGCGCGCGGGGCTAGCGTTCGTTGTGACCCCAGTAAGAAAGGCATGCAGATTGTGAAGTATTGATTAAAATACCATTCATTGGCAGTAACAGTAGAAGAAAAAAGAGGATAGCGTGATCTTACGTCCCTCCCGTTGTGGGGAGCCCCGTGTTGTGCAACGCTGGACAGACCTCCAGTCCCAGCACACCACACCGTGCGGGTCGTGTCCCTGGCGAGAGGTCGGCCAGCGCTGTGGTCCTCAGAGCTCTTAGGGCATTTTCTTCAGAGAAAGGAATTCAATTCATCATTTCTGCTGTCAAACAAAAGGATGTTCACTTGAGAACTTGCTGCTTTGCTTTAAGATAGAAGGATATCGATGATGGTAATCACCAGTGCCAAGGGAGCTGCCTCCAGGCTCCTTCGTTAAGATCGGACAGCTGGGGGCAGGGGATATATGCGGCACAGCACAGGTTAGCTCCTCTGTGGATCACCGACTGCTCGATCTGCGAGGGTCGGGATCACAGCATTAACCCCTTCTCCGTCCAGGTTTGGGATGCTATCGAGGGGACCCTCCGCAGCAGTAACGATGAAGGTCAATCTGGCATCACAGCGCTCGTCTTCCTGAACAACAGGTAATTGCGTTTGTGCTCGGTGATCTCCGGCGAGGGGAGGAGGACGTGTGCTGTAAGCCAGGACCCCAGCCCTGACCCTCGAGGTCCAGCAGCTCCAGATGGCAGAGGCTCAGCCGGGAAGTCTCTTCCTTCTCACGCGTCCACCTCTCGAGCTGGGCATGTGGAGCGAGCTTTCCTGGGCCCAGGTCTGTTCAGCAGCCAGTTCTTCATACAGATATTCAGTCTTTCTAGTAGGTGAATATCCAGAATAATTCAGGGCTGGGAGATGGGGCTGTGTGCTGGTATTCAGGAGGCATTGTCACCTGCCAGTTTATTCTCTGGTCTGAGCTTAATATAATTTCCGAGCCCCTTCCTTGCAATCAGGAGTGCCTCCTCACAGGGGGAGCCTGCGTGCTTTGTGCTCTGCCTCGGAAGGCGTCTGGTCTCAGGGCTCCTCGCCCTGTGGGAGCGGGGAAGGGCCGCTCCTCACGTCCTTGCGTTTCTCCCTCAGGATCGTCGCTGCCCGGTTGAACGGCTCTTTAGATTTCTTTTCACTGGAGACACACACGTCCTTGAACCACCTGCAGTTCCGAGGTAAGCAAGCGTCCCAGCATGCTGGGCGCCGCTCTGAGCTCCACCAAGCCCTTTCCTCTTCCCTCGCCTTCTTGCAGCTGACTCTTCCTCGCACCCGCTTCATAAGCTCTTGTAATAATGCTCCTCTCAAAGCACCCTGTGCTGCAGGGTGCCGAACCAGCTGGTGCGGAGAGGCGAGGAGTACTTTGGGAATTCCCTGGGCAGGGAGAGCGTCTCGAGTGCTGGTTTTCTCCAGTGCGGAGGCTGAGGCATGTGTTCCAGGGTCAGCTCTGCCCCGTACCTCTTTTCTCTCCCACTTCTCACTTATTTTCTCCTTCAGCAAGGGCTGTTCTCACTTGTTTGCACACCACGTAGCCCCGCACAACCACAATACAGCTTGGGGCCTCGGCGCAACCACGACACGCACAAAACTCATGTGTGGTGCTAACTGGTTTGCAGTGCAGTGGCTCCTTTGGTTCTGGAGCGGCCTGGAGGGGAGAGAAGCCCTGGCCTTGCTCCGGGAGAATGGTTGCATTCCTGGGGGGATGCTCTGGGATCCGCAAGCTGTAGGTCTGGAAGCGGAGCAGGCTCTGCAGGAAAGGACTGGCTGTGGAAATGATGTTTCCCCGTAGGGCGCAGAGACTCTTGTGCCCCGCTCTCTGTTCTGCCTCTCTGATGAGGGCGACCGCAGCGCTCTTGGGCTTCAGGGACCTCAGTCTTGCAGACTTACCGTGTAGGGGCCACTGGTCTGTAGAAGGGAGTTCTGCTGCTGAGGACCCTGTTGGAGACCCTCGCTGCGGTTGTTCCTGAGCGCTGAGCGGCTGTAGCTTCTGTTGGTGTCAGCCAGACTGCTGAATGTTTGGCTCTTTGGAGGACCAGGTTCAAATTCCTTCAAGTTCAGCATCCAGGCATCCCTGATATCCCACCGTTTCTGGATGATATTAGTTCTTGGAGTGTAAGGCTGTGTCTGCTCCACTGAGGACTTTACCTGCGCGTCTCTCTGCAGGAGCCCCGAGCAGAAGCAGCATCCCGTCCTCCCCTGTGTTCAGCAGCAACGACATCATCGTGTGTCAGCTCACCCACACCGTGTCCTGCGCCCACCAGAAGCCGATCACGGCGCTGAAGGCTGCGGCTGGACGGCTGGTCACCGGGAGCCAGGACCACACTCTGAGAGTAAGGCGTCCTCGGCTGCAGTCTGCGGCCGCTGCTGCCCTGTAACGGGTGGGGTGCGGGTGCTCATCCGTCCTGCGGTTGTTGTGGGACGTCAGCTTGGCTCGTACGTGGGCGGGGGGGCAAAGCTGACGTGTGTACACGCACAAAGGTGGGCGAGAGTTTGGGGTGGGGTGGTTGGAGTCCAATCCAGTGCATTCCTGAAGCTCCCCGTGTTGTGTTCGTCTGCCTGGATGGGGCTCCTCGGGGGAGGCAGAAGGCCAGAGCCCTGTGAGAGGTGTCTTACTAAGCAGAGCGTGAGATCCTCCTGCCTTAGAGATGGGCGACTTCACGAACAGCAAAGTGTGGGTTCTGGGGTGCCCCCTGTCTTAACCATAGAATCATCATTTGGGTTGGAAAAGCTCTTTAATACCATTGAGTCCAACCATTAACCTGTCACTGCCAAGGCCACCACTAAACCATGTCCCCAAGCACCACATCTCCCCGGCTTTTCAATCCCTCCAGGGGTGGGGACTCAGCCCCTGCCCTGGGCAGCCTGGGCCAGGGCCTGACAGCCCTTTCGGGGAAGGGATTTTTCCTAATATCCAATTAATTAATTAATTAATCCAAGTCTTCCCCTTGTCACTTCCGTCAGCAGCTGTCCCCTTCAGCTGTGCACGTCGCCTCCCTGCCCTGTCGCTGCCCGACAGGCATTACCCTCTTCCCCTGCCCTTGGCAGCAGCATCCAGTGACCTCGCTGCCCTGAATCGCTGACGGGCTCTGACTCTGCCATGCGAGGGGGATGGCAGCAAGGAAAATAAAGTGAGATCTGTTGCTTCGTTAGCAAGAGGGATGAGGCTCAGGTGGGAGCGTTCTGCAGCACGGCTGCCCCACGGACACTCACGTCTGCCCCTTCTGCCCTGCAGGTGTTCCGGCTCGAAGACTCGTGCTGTTTGTTCACACTGCAGGGTCACTCAGGCGCAATCACAGCGGTGTACATCGATCAGGTAGCGTGCGGCTGGGCCTGCACCGGGAAGAAGGTCCTTGATATATGGCTGCTGAGCCACTGCTTCAGCCAGAGGGACCCAGCTGGGACTCTCTTCTGGTTTGCACGTGGAGAAGTTGATGTGTGCTTCTCTGAGGACGCAGAGGGTTCGCTGGCCGCTGTAACGGCGTGCTCACTGTGTGCCTTACAAGCTGAACCATTATTTTTCCATCCAGCTAACCGCGAGCTCAGCACTCCCTTTCCCTGGAGGCGGTTTGTCTCCCTGCCCTGTTTGGAGCAGGAAAGCCCCATTCCCACTGTACCCGTGCTGCCGGCTCACCTGTTCTGAACACAGCTCTGGAGCCAGGGAGCCTCTGACGGCAGAGCTGGGAGCAGGGGCTGACACTGGCCTGGGAAACGTTCCCTGCGCTGTGAAGGCCTGCCCTCCTGGGGACCGGCTGGCTCCCGCGAGAGGCAGCGTAGGCTTAGCTGAGCGGGTGCCTGGCCTGCGGGGCCAGGGCTGGAGAGGGGAGCGAGGCTAACGAGCGTGCCCTGCTCTGGGGTGACCCCCAGGGAGGCTTTGCGGGCTGGCTCCCCTGGGAAAGGAGGAGAGCCACACCCGTGTGCTTTCCAGCGCTGTTTAACTGAATTTAGGTTTCTCTGCAACTGGGAGTCCTGGTGGGCTGGGGGTTTTGTCACCTCCAGCCTGCTCGAACGCATGTACAAAGGCAGGGACGCCACCGAGCTGGCAGTTCGCCTTTCCATCCCACGTTCCTGTGACCTCCTGCAGCCCGGGAGCGTGCCCGGAGCACTGGAAGTGCTTGTATAGGGAATTGGCCCGTGTGTTCAGCGGCTTCCCGTGTCCCTGGCACGGCGAAGCCCCGGGCTGTGATGGAGAGGCCCTGTCCGCTGAGGCTCCTGACCTGGTTCTGCCTGTGTCCCTGCAGACGATGGTGCTGGCGAGCGGAGGCCAGGACGGTGCCATCTGCCTTTGGGACGTGCTGACGGGGAGCAAGGTCAGCCACATGTACGCCCACCGAGGGGACGTCACGTCCCTCACCTGCACAACGTCCTGCGTCATCAGCAGCGGCTTGGACGACGTGATCAGCATCTGGGACCGCAGCTCGGGGATCAAGCTCTATTCTATCCAGCAGGTTGGTAGCTGGGGAGCGGCCAGGGAAAGCTTAAGGGCGCTTCTGCGCTTTCCTGGACCCCACCAAACCCCGCAGCCCACCTCTGCTGGGCTCGTAGTGTGAAGGGATCTCTACTGAAACTGGAAAAATTCCCTGTTTGTAAATATAATGTGCGAGACCTCCGAAAAGACCAAACCTGCTGCTTGGCCGGCCCGCGCGCTCCCGGCTGCCAGGCTCTGTGGCCCCGTTCCAGCACGTGTGCACCCGCGGGGCCGGGCTGGCAGAGGGACTGCGGCTAAACGGCCTCTTCCCGGCCACGGCGAGGGCTGCGGCCGCAGAAGCGGCACGGGCAGGCTGCTGCCCTCCCTCGCGGAGGAATTCCCGCCCGGACGCCTGCCGGGGGCTTGGCGCTCTGACACGCTCTCGTTCCACGCAGGAGATGGGCTGTGGTGCCAGCCTGGGCGTGATCTCCGACAACCTGCTGGTGACAGGAGGCCAGGGCTGCGTCTCCTTCTGGGACATCGGCTACGGCGACCTGCTCCAGACCGTCTACCTGGGGAAGAGCAATGAGTCGCAGCCCGCCCGGCAGATCCTCGTGCTGGAGAATGCCGCCATCGTCTGCAACTTCGGGAGCGAGCTCAGCCTGGTCTACGTACCCTCGGTGCTGGAGAAATTGGACTGAGGTGGAGGGGCAGGCGCTGGAGCCCGGGCGGAGCGAGGCAGGTGGAACGGGGCACCCCGGCCCCTTCCGCAGTTGAAGGCAGTGCAGGCAGAGGAGGGGCGGGCTCTGGGCAGCGCCGTGCCGCTGCCCGTGGGGCGAGGGGACGGGGACGCCGGCTCCATCGCTCTGTCCGTGCCTCTGTCGCCTTCCCTCCTCGTCAACTGGACTCTTGTCACCCAACAGCCTGCAGGGCCCAAGCCCGCCTCTTCTCCCCGTTTCCTCCATCTTCTCTGCGGTTGCTGGGGCGCCGGGCTCCGCTCCGGCACCCTGAACGACGGCAGCGGGCGCTGGAGCGTGGTGCGGAGCTGGGGGAGTGTGGGTGCCTCTTGCCTGGCACTGGTGGAGCTAAGCTGGGCCCAGCCCTCTCTCAGCAGGTTCCAGCTCGTTCACAGGCCTCGACGGGGCCATGGCTGCTTGGAGCCTGCCCGTGCTGCCCGCAGGAGGCTCTGCAGCCGCCGGCCCAGCCCAACACCTGCTCCTGGGGCACAGAGCACGGCCCGGCCTGGCTCGGGAGCGGCTGGGGGCGCGGGCCCCCGGCCCGGGG